AAAAATAAAATAAAAGGATTCAGAGCTTGCATGCAGGCAGAGTATCCAAAAGCGAAATATTGTACATGTGCTTCCCACTTTTTGACTCTTATGGGTACAAGTTAAACAATGTATTAAGATTATTAAGGTGTGTTTGTGGTGCAGCTGTTCCCACCTTCTATAACCTCTGATCCAGTACCAGCACTTTAGTCTACCTCAATATAAAAAGAAAGCAGTTCGATCCTCTTTCCTACAGAGCACCACAATTCTGGAACAACCTCCCGCACATTTAAATTTTCCCCAGGCCCCAAATCTTTAACGAGATCCCTCTCTACATTGTACCATACTGTATCAAGGCAATGTTTTGGGGACCTAGGACATACTTGAAAACTAGAGAAATCTCAATGTATCCTTCCTGGTAAAATATTTTATAAATACATAAAAAGCAGCTCACGTATGCAAAACTTTGTCAAAGATTTAAGAGCAATGATGAAGGCATGTTTTTCTGTAGTGCTAAATTGTGTAACCATTTTATCTTCAATACGAGAAGGTGCTAAACACAGGTGTTTGAAAATGTAAAAATACAATTTAAAAAAAAAAAAAAAAAAAAATCTACTTATCCAAGGGACTAAAGTGGTAGACCAATCTAATTGTCCATCATTACTACCTACTTGTCATGCACAACAATGTCAGATTAGGGCACCTGCCCTGCAAGAAGGGTTTTTTTATATTAAACTTTGTGAATGAAATCTAAATGGAAAAACAGACAAAAGAAAGCTGATCTAAAAAAAAGGTTCAACACAGAAATACACCCTTTTCCCTTCGGGGTTTACATTCAGATTTAAAGGGATATAATAGGGATAAGTAGTCCAGCCTAATTAGGCAGTTTCTGTGTATAGAGCAGTCTCCCTGCTCAATTCTCTGCCATCGAGGAGTCAAAAACTTATTAAAAATATTACTTTGATAATTAAAATTACATACAAATACTATCTGATCATTGTATTTGTATTGGATTTTAATTCTCAAAGTCTTTTTTTAAACAAAATTTTATGTAAAGATTAGCACAAATGATTTGATGAATTATATAGGCAATAAAAAAAAATATAGTATACAGTGGGGGCAAATAATTAAATTACGTAGAGCAGAATTAAGAGGTTTTTCATTTTGCTTTTTCTTATAACTACAGGCAATGCCTGCAGAGAGCGAAATAAGATCAACTTTTTATTTCTTTTAATACTAGAAACGTTATTTATCTTTTAAATTGTGACTGTGGCTGCAATCTATAGGGAGAACCACTTGAGATAAAATGGATATTAGAGATGGAAACACTGTAGAAGGGTGAAATTGTTTTTGAAATCTAATTTTTAATATATCCTTTTAGTAGTATTTTACTTGTTTTCTGTTGACGTTGGGTCAATATGGTGGCAGTGTGAGCAGTATGGATGCTGAGATATATCAGGCGAACTGGAGGAAAAAAAAAAAAAAGTGTGTCCAGAAGAGGACTAACACTAATTGGGACAGTAAGATGTGTGGAACCAGCCATTACATTCTACACCGTCGCGAGAACCAATATGGCCACTGCAATGGGTATAATTAAGAATGACAGCGCCAGAAGGATGCAAGGACACAGGGCCGAACAATGGATGCAAGGAGGCATGGCCAAACAGAAAATGGCCTTTATAAACAGACATTTCCACACAAGTATATGCACCGGAGGTAGACGAGAATGTTAAAACATGTTGTGCACCTTCACTTGTGAGACTGACGTGGCACTTTACTTACATGTAAACAGTTTTTTTTTTTTCAAAACAATCTGTTTATATTATTCTCATAAGTGGTGCCTTTATTTTACTTCTTTTGGCGTGACCATCTGCTGAAATCTCTGCGCCAAGATTTCAAAAATCACACCTATGCCGATATACTTGAGCCAGTAAATTCAGGCTCTAGAAAATGTGTGAGATAGCACCTGGAGTGTTTTTAGGCATGTATATTAATTTGTGCACAAACCATAGTGCACTACATTTAAGAAGAATCTGTATGGTATATAAATACATTTTATTACATATCCACAGTTTATACACACAAAATACACTTTATTGTGTACTGTTTCCCCTTAACTGCCTGCATATCTTGCTTTGAACCTTGCTGTAAGGCATTTCACAAACAGGAGGACTTTTCCTTTCCCATACAAAGTAGATATTGTGCAAAATCCCAAATTTTTCCTAACTCTTAAATAAATTCAAAAAGGTTAGTCTGCAGTTGTGTTCCACCTTTAGATTTTCATCCACTTTATTTAAAGGGATATCAACTAAACTATCTAAACGTTTCTTCCTGCTCCTTTAGCCTTCCAACCGGTTGCCATTCCTTCAAAAATCATTGAAACCCCACTACTTTAGGAAAGCATATAAATTAAACAGGTAATAGCTTTCCCTCCCTGCTCCATGGTAACCCACCTAGTTTCCTATCCTACAAATGTAAAAAATAAATAAAAAACTTCTGTAAACTAATCTATGCTACCTACACTTACCCCTTGTGTCTCTTTACCGCACTCCCTCTGGATTATGAACTTGTTTGAGCAGGGTCCTCAACATCCTCTGTTCCTGTGCATCCAACTCGTCTTGTTTCAATTACTTCTTTGTTAGTATATCTGTTGTATAGCACTGCGCTTTATTGACAAAACGAAAAAGGGCTGATTTAACAGCTAGATATGCAAACCGAATGCAACCCAACCCCATTCAGCAGTCCAAGAACCTGTAGACTCTCGGAAATATAAAATGGTCAAATAACCCAATTTTGCACGCTTATCAGCAAGTGCTAGTGTGGGGATTAGAGTTACCCTAACACGGAAACCTAACAGGTAACCGTAAAGGTACACGTACCGGTCCTTAGAGTGGCCGGGTTAGTGACAGACAGATATGAATAAACGAGAGACAAGCAGAGGTCAGGATAACAGAACTAGACCGGGCAAGGAAACTACACCGGGCAAGGAAACTAGGAAGTATATATACACCCTACAATGGGTAGGAATTGGTCACAGAGGACCGCGATGTCACAAGCCTGTACATATCAAAAAGAGACATATGGGCTGACACTATAAAAAGAATAATTGGAGGGGTCCACATTATATAGGATGCCATAGTAAGGCAGCATAAAGTTATGGATAAAAGGTGTACATCAACACATTTTTGTGAATGCACGGCGCCGCGAGGGACAGGTATCGTGAAAGCCAGTTACATTTTTCTTTCGTAACTATGATCAATCCTCTGAACAAGGGGATTCATCCAGGTGGGCGCACAATCTGTTGATGCATGATCCTATACTTGTATGCCAGAATCATTTTTATAGTAGCCCTTGCCTGTACACCCTGTACCAAATTATGCAAATTCTAGTTAAGTGTCACAAAGATTAAATATTTTGTTTTTCAGTTTAACTCATGGATGGCATTGTGCCATAAACTCACAAGTTCAATGGATGCAAGACTTGTGAAGCTGCTATTAAATAAGGGGTCCTATGTTAAAATGTAACGTGACCTGTTAAAAAGTTAAAAATGTTATAAGTTTGATTAAAATAGCTTTTGATTTTAGTAAATATGCTGCAAACACAACAAATGACAATTTTCAATTCTTTACAACCTATAAAGTGTTTTGAAACTTACTGTGCGTAAATTTGGAACAGTGCATTGTAAAGTTATGTTTAAAATACTGTTATTAGGAAGTTTGTTCAATAAACTTTGAATTGTACTCTTAATAGTTGGCATGAGAATTATGCTGACTGTTATTTACATCTATTTAGGTAAATGAGAAAAATGATTAGATTCCCCAACGGAGTAATATACCCATATTATGTTGTGACTTATCACACCACAGTTTTCTCCTCATATGCTTTGCAGTTCATTTAGATCTGTTGCAATGTAGTGTGTAGTGTGTAGTGTAAGCAGACTTTACACAATGTGGTGAGGAATCTTTTCTTTACCAGTGTGAAAGTGATAGTTTAAGTTAATGTTTACATATGGTAATGAGGGTAGTTTTTATTGTCTACATTTGTCGATTGTTTATTAATATGAGTACATGGCTAATGACAGCTGTGAAGGATAATAGTTTACATGAAAATGGTAATTCTAGATTTATAGGTATGGAGAAGAAATATGAAGACATCTTCCAATTCCTCTCAGTAGGAGAATACCCATCCGGGAAGAGTACATCGCAGAGACAGCTTTAGAAAGGCCACTGCCAAATATACATTAAAGGGCGAGTATTATCAATACAAGCAATGTTAGTTGCTTTGGAAGAATGTTCTTGAATTTTTCCTTTTATTACAGAAGAAAAGCTTTGTCGGTAGAGTCTTAAATTACAAAGAAGAAGCGAGAAGGATATTTTAAGAATTTCATTCTGCACCAATTGGAGGGCATTCAGGGATCATCAAGACGCAGTTGGCTATCTCCTCATGATTGTTTTGGCGTGGAATGACAAAAGATATTGAAAACTGGGTACACAGTGTTTTGCAATTTTTATGAATGCTGTACACAGTTTAACAACTGATGTCTTACAGATCCAGGAATGCGCAAAGTGCCAGACGGTTGGAAAGCCTCTGTTAGCTCTTCAGCCATTACAGTGCATTAAGGTAAATGCCTACTATATTACATAAGTTATTACATTGGTCTATTACAAATATATATCTTTACATCCCATTCGGTGTCTGTCTGGGAGCTGGTTGGGATTGAACCGACAGGCCCTTTTCCCAAAGACAGTGGATGGTTTCCAGTACATTTTAATGGCCATAAATTATTTCTCTAAGTAGGTAGAGGCATTACCTTTGAAGTCAAAAACTGCTGCCGAGGTGGGACGTCATCTTGGTTCCCTGATATACCGACATCGTTACCCAAAAAGGATACTTTCTGACAAGTGCAGAGAATTTGTTAATCAAGTATGTTTACTTTCCATTTACCATATATGTACAAATGATTTGGTAACTTTTAAATGAGAATTATAAGTATGTTTGTTTCTTATAAGCTTAACGACCGGATGTGCAGTGTTCTGGGAATAGAAAGAAGCGTGACAGCGGCGTATCAACCACAGACAAACGGGCTGAATGAGAAAACAAATTATAATATTAAGAGGTAAGTTTAATTCACGTTTAGTTTTCATTCAGGGTTTTATTAGAACTTTGCTCCACAGGATTCACTTTTAAGTTATTCTTACATTCCACTTGTTTAAAAAAAAAAAAAAAAAAAATTCCTACTGTATTGTGTGTTACCATTTAAACAATTTGTTCTCCAGCTGTCAAATATCGTTCTGCCGGAGGAGAAGAATTACATAACATAACGCTGGAGAATATAGCTAAGTCGCAGGAAAAGCATAAGGTAGCATATGCGAAGAGAATGCAGAAGAAACAGGGATTTACACTACAGTGTTGGTGTACAGTGTTGGTGTAAAGTTCTCCTTTACAATATGAGGAAACGTGGTAGAAAAGGAGGAATGATTGAGCTTGACTTCCTTGGCACTTATATCATCAAGGAGCTGTGTGGCAATATGGTTAAGTTGGCAAATCCTGGACCTCTGTGATTCAATTTGCCCCAAAGAGATAAGATAGCACTATGGAGGTACAACCAAACTCCCTACCTAAATAGCTAGCAGACCCCTATATTGCATATAGTGCACTTATTCTGTATCTTCAGCATATTCTTTTTGCACTATATTCCAAAATGTAGTTGCTTAAGTTTTATATTGGTTGTTTTTGGTTTTTTTAAAGCAGTCTGCATCTTTGAATTTACAGCAGAGCATAGAAGACAGGGGTCGCATTTGCAAAGATCTTCATTTTCTTTTTTGAAATTGTTGGTCATTTAATTGGCCATGCCCTGTTGCCTTTGAACATAGGTGGTTTTGATTTAGGAATATTTGCAAATATGAGGAGAGCTCATGCAGATTGGATGGTGAATTTGGAACCAATGCTTTTGGATACTTTAGAATTTGAAGAAAAGGCATACTTGACCGGTATTGGCTTTTGGCTCCAATAGTACAATAACAACTGCAGTTTAAGTTTCTTGTTTTTTGCTCTCCAGTTAAATGGCTGTGGAGTGCTAAAGCTGACAACTCTGTGGAAGCCATTGTCGGACAATACAAACTGTATAACTTGTCATTCAAAACACTGCATGGGACAGGGTGGCTGGTTGATGAGGCAAGAGTCTGCATAGTTGAAAGTGTATAAAAAGCAAAAATCTCTTAAACTTTTTTTTATTATTTTTCTCTCTCTAATGCAGGTGATTGATGCATACCTTTATCACCTGATTGGAAAGCACAAGGCAAGTGTGAATTAGTGCATGCTTGTGTTGTGTTTGTTGTATTGTTATTCTACATTATAACTTGTAACGTATCCCCTATACGCCGGCTGAGTATATACGCATAGAATCTCCCGACATCCGAGCATAGAAGTTGAAGTGACTATAACTCCCAATCCCCCAAAACATGAGCCAAGACTTCATGAAGGGGTAAAGCATTCTGTTTAATGGAAGCCACAGCTGGCCTTTTATGCAAGTCCTCAAGCAAGGTGTACAGCCACATGGGCCTTGTTTGGGACAGGGACACAAAAACAATAACAAGGTTACAAAGTGTGACACTCCCAATACAAATACAATCCCTCCTCTGAATCAGGAAGATAATTTAGTTAAGTGGCTGGCTTAAGCTCAATTATCTCCAATTACAGAAAATATTCACTTAAAACTTTACAAAAACACTTTAAAATCCAAAAGTCATTTCGTGCAACTGAAACTCCATAGATAGCTTGGATATGAGAGCACAACATATCTGAAAAGAGCTCAGATCCCACAAACATAGTTCAATCACCACGGGGCGAGGGGGAGAAGAATTGACTGACCAGAAATAGTTCCATAGCTTCATGGGTAGCAGTCAGTCTAGTTTGAGAGTTTTTATACGGAATGACATGGTTTACGAATATAAAGGGCAAAGGGGTGCCCTGGCTCATAGTGTGGGGTTTGTTCGGGAGTTCTCGAATAATCGGTCGAACAGGGTTCTCCTGGCTTGCCACAACTAGAAGCAGGCATTCGTATGTTTTCCCCAGTGTTCGGGCCGTCGAGTGGCCACCTCAGAGTTCCAGACACTCGACGACCAAGTCCCGCTGCCTGCTTTTGTGCAACAAGATGGCGTTCGGTTACGCGAACGGCGGCCACACAAAGAGCACTGAATTCCTGTGGTTTGTTTGAACTTAATGAGCCAAGGTGTGACCAGTGTTCGGTACGTAGTTTTTTTTCGAATGAATGGGAAATAAATTATTAACAAAATGTCAAAACAGAGTAGAAGATTGACTCTGGGGGAAGGCAAAATAGGGATTTTGTCACATAACTCTTAATCTTTTAAAACAAGAACCTTTTCACCAGTTGTATGCAGTAATTTCATCAGCATTATTTTTAGGAAAATTTGATAGACTTGGAAAGCTTAGTTATTTGTCTCAATACCAGCTATTCATACACACATTAACAAAAATAAAATTTAATTTTCTCATCCCTCCTGGGTGGTATGTTTATTCCTCATTCTCGGGTCCACTACCAGAGGCATGGGAGCTTGAGGGTTCTGCACAGTATCTTAGCTGTTCGTAGAACTGCACTCTTCTGGACAGATCTCAGATGTCCCACCTGTAATCTGTTGAAGCCACTCCTCCAACTTGAGAGTCACAGCCCCCGTGTGCTCCCATCACAGCTGGGACTACTACTGCATATACATGTGTCAATGCATTGTTAAACACAGATCTACACACACCTGTCAAACCATAAGATTTTCTTTTCCCACAGAAATCTCAAATTTGCAGTGGTGTTACTACTGCAAGGCATTCTGGGTAAGCATATGCTAATTAATTCAGCAAAGAAACTCAGTCAATTTAAAAAAAATATATAAAATACAAACAAAATGTCTGATTTCTCCATATTCTTCAGATGAGGATTCCTGGGGAAGATCTCTGGTTATACCCTGTGAACTTCAGAGCTCACTGGATTTTAGTGGTATTCTAGGACTACATTAACCTTTCTTTACTTGTGTTATGTGCGGTTAGAATTTATGTAATTTCGTTACATACACAGATATTTAACTACATCCCTATGAAATCGCAGAACATATGCTTTATATACCAAAAATTCATATCAAAGAAAATTGAGTGTTTTCCCCAAAAAAATTTTAGATTGTCACGTCAAAGGTTATTGTGCCAACTGACCCACTGGGACATGAACAGAACTATCTTTTGAAAGTACAACACAACTGGAGGCAAGCATGCCTTGGGAAAAAAAAAAAAAAAAGTTGTGCAAGGTGTTTTCACTTTTTTTTTTCTTTTTTTAATAGTATGCTCTTGAATATGTATATCCATGAACAACAAGGAGCCCAATGGAATACCCATATAATGCATCACAGCAACCAGCAGGATTCCAGCAGCTGTGGGAGTTTTGATCTTGATGGTAAACATTCTTGTACAGAGTGAAGCGAACCCAAACTGTGAAGTTCGGGTTTGTACCGAACATTACGATTTTTGACCCCGAACATTTCAGTAACAGTTCGGCGATTTTTTAAATTTAAATTGTTTTTCAGATAAAGATACAGCATGTAATAGTTCAAGTGTACAAGTAGGATACTGAGAAAACCATGAGTCATTAGGACTGGTATAGCAGTACAGTATGACATTTGCAATATAATTACAGCATGTTACATAATGCGGTTATTTTAACAACTAATACACGATAGTATACTACTATAACAAGGAGTTCTAAGTTGTACATAAGTAGTCTGTAGATACTATACACGATAAAGCTCCTTGTTAAAGTAGTCTGTAGATACACGAAGATAATTGTTAAGTGGCTATTGCCTCGGTATGTTCATTATAATAATTCGACTCTTTACTGCATCTTTTTGTCATAGTGACAGGTCCCTGTGTCAAGTATAGTTTTTATGTGCTGAGGTTTTGCGAGTTCGGCGATTTAATGGCGTGTTTTGAAAAGCTGCAGGGCAGCCAATCAACAAGCGTTTGACTCGTGTGCCCGTAGACGCCATTACAGCCATGCCTACTAATGGCATGGCTGTGATTGGCCAGTGCCGCACGTGACCCAGCCTCTATATAAGCTGGAGTCACGTAGCGCCGCACGTCACATGAGCGCTTAGTGTAGGGAGAGAATGCTGCAGCTCTGAGGAACAGATTAGGAAAGAATGCTGGTTGCAAACTACAGCGATTATTTTTGTGGGTGCTATACTACATTTTTGTACCCTGCCCTGAGCCCAGTGCCACAGAGAAATAAGCAGTCTGTTAGGTGGGCACTGGCAACTGCATGTGTGCCAGGCACATTACTTTAATCCTGTTCTGGTAGCACAGTGGGCAACATCTAGGCATTTTTAAATACTGCTGTGACATTGCAGTTTGACAAATTCTAATTTTTTGGTGCTAAAACGTAAATTTGGGGCGTGCACTTCAGATCTGAGAGTCAAATCGATCCGTCAAATACTGTGGTAACATCGCACTTTGAAAAATTCTTTTTTTGGTGATATAGTACATTTGCGGCCTGCGGTGCATTTCTTGCAGTCCAATAAAACCGTTAAATACTACTGTTACATTGTTTGACAAATTCACATTTTTTGAGACAGTGAAGTAACTATTAATTACACCCGACACTGTTGTGTGACATCTAGAAATGTTTTTCTCTTTAGGACACCGGCACTGCCTTACTTCAGCGTTATTTGGTAGGCCCGAATGCCGCTCTACAAATGGTGAGGACACAACAAGTACAGGCTATAGTAGATTGGGTGGCTGACGAACTGGAGGCACTGTTCACATTGTCTCCCACTCGGCCCCCTGCAGCCCATGGCCATCTGTCTTTCACCTCACCACCTTGCAAATCAGCCAAGCAGTCTGAGCCACAAGTCATGCAGCAGTCTCTTATGCTTTTTGATGACTGCTGGCGGGGTTTCTGTGGGCCATCCACCGAGCCCTGCCCCAGAAGTGGAAAAGATTGAGTGCACTGATGCACAACCATTTATGTGTCAGGATGTGGACATGCAAGCACCACCGCAGCACATCTCTGATGATGAAACACAAGTGCCAACTACTGTGGCTTTCTACAGTATGCAGACCGGCAAGGAGGGCAGGGTTGAGGAGTGGGTGGAAGATGATGTGGAGGATGATGAGGTCCTAGACCCCATATGGAATGAAGGTCATGCGAGTGACGTGTGCAGTTTGGAGGAAGAGGCGGTGGTCACAGAGGCACCAGCACAGCACAAGAGGGAGCAGGGTGCAAAAGCAGAACGCCCGTCCCCTAGACGGTACGCCTGCTACTGCTCACCGCACCCAGGGACAGAGCACACCAAAGCCAGCTCCAAGGAGTTCCCTGGCGTGGCAGTTCTTCAGACAATGTGCTGATGGCAAGACATGAGTGGTTTGCACGCTGTGCAATCCGAGTCTGAAGCGAGGCATAAACGTGCTAAACCTGAGTACAACCTGCATGACCAGGCATCACATGCAAAGCACGAGCTGCAGTGGAGTAAGCACATCAAAAACCAAGAAAGGTCTCAGGCTCCTCCTGCTTCCTCTTCTGCTGCTGTCTCTACCTCTTCCTCCACCTCTGGAGTGACAGTGGCACCTGCCACCCAGAAAACAGGATGTGGCAGAAACGCCACCACCGTCCCCATGCATCTCCACACTGTCCCATGGAAGCGTTCAGCTGTCCATCTCCCAAACACTGGAGAGAAAGAGGAAGTACCCCCGTAGCCACCCGCGATACCTGGCCCTGAATGCCAGTATTTCAAAATTGCTGGCCTTTGAAATGCTGTCAGTCTGGTGGAGACTGACAGTTTTAAAAACCTGATGGCGGTGGCTGTCCCACAGTACGTGGTTCCCAGCCGAGCCATCCCTTCACAACCAATTGTTGGACAAAATCAGGTGTGCACTGCGCAACGCCATCCGTGGCAAGGTCCACATAACTACTGATACATGGACCAGAGACGCTATATCACCCTAAGTGCACACTGGGCAAATGTAGTGGCGGTTGGGCCTGACGCAGATAGCAGTTTGGCGCACGTCCTTGCGCCACTGAGGATTGCAGGGCATTTCTTTGCCGCCTCCTCTGCTGCTTCCTCCTCTACCACCACCTCTTCCGGTCAGCGTAACACCTTCACCACCAACTTCAGCACAACCAGGGGGAAACAGCACGCTGTTTTAAAACTCATATGTTTGGGGGAAAAACCCCACACTGTGCAGGAACTGTGCATGGAACAGACCGATGAGTGGTTGTTGCCACTGAGCCTCAAGCCCGGCCTGGTGGTGTGCGATAATGAGCAAAATCTCGTAGCAGCTCTGGGCCTGGCCGGTTTGAAGCATATCCCTTGCCTGGCGCATGTGCTGAATTTGGTGGTGCAGAAATTCCTGAAAAACTACCCAGATATATCAGAGCTGCTGCAGAAAGTGTAGGTCGTCTGTGCGCGCTTTCGGCGTTCTCACCCTGCTGCTGCTCGCCAGTCTGCGCTGCAGCGTAACTTCCGCCTTCCCGCTCACCACCTCATATGCAACGTTCCCACAAGATGGAACTCCACCTTGCGCATGCTGGAGAGACTGAGCAGCAGCAGGCAATAGTGGAGTCTCAGCTACAGCACGCACGGGTCAGTCGCTCTGCGGAACAGCACCACTTCAACACCAATGAGTGCGCCTCCATGCGAGACCCGTGTGCCATTTTGCACTGTTTCGAGTACTCCACCAACATGGCCAGTGCCGACGACTCCGTTCTCAGCCTTTCTATCCCGCTTCTGTGTCTCCTTGAAAAAACGCTTTGGGCGATGGAAGAAGATGTGGCACAGGAGGAAGAGGGGTAATTTCCACGGTTATCAGGCCAATCATTCACAAGTGGCTTGGACCAGCATAGGCCAGGTACACAATTGTCCAGGTGTCCGCTCAACTAAATTCTTGAACCATTGTAAAAAGCTATCATAAATGTTAATTGCGGTTACAAATGTAAAGTTTATATTTTTTTGGTTTTGCTATTTTTATGAATGCTGTACACAGGTTAACTGATTTCTTACATATCCAGGAATGCGCAAAGTGCCCGACGGTTGGAAAGCCTGTTAGCTTCACAGCCATTACAGTGTATCAAGGTAAATGTCTACTATATATTACTACATAACAGTTATTACAAGAGTCTATTACAAATAAATATATATTTTTATCATCCCATTAGGTGTCTGGGAGCTGGTTGGGATTAACCTGACATGACCTTTCCCAAAGACAGTGAATGATTTCTAGTACATTAATGGACACGGATTATTTCTCCAAGTGGGTAGAGGCGTTTCCTTTGAACACAAAAACTACTGCCGAGGTGGGACGTCATCTTTGTTCCCTGATATACCAACTTGGTTACCCAAAAAGGATACTTTCTGACCAGGGCAGAGAATTTTTACTTTCCATTTACCATATATGTACAAATGATTTGGTAAATTTTTAAATGAGAATGTGAATTTTTTTTGTGTAAGCTTAACGACCGGATGTGCAGTGTTCTGGGAATAGTATCAACCGCAGACAAATGGGCTAAATGAGAAAACAAATGAATATTAAGAGGTAAGTTTCATTCACGTTTCGTGTTCATTAAGGGGTTTATTAGAACTTTGCTCCACAAGATTCACTGTAACTGGCTTAGAGCTATGTCACATTACTTTGTAGAGTTTTGTAAATGTGTTTATATTTCTATTCATTTCTAGAGCGCTAAATTGGTAAACTAAAAACAGAACAACTGGGACGTGTATTTGGAAGCTACATTATTTTCTATCAGATCAAAGGTCCAAACCACAACCACATTTTCTCAGTTTGTTCTGATGTATGGAAAAGAGGCAGTTTTCCCAGCTGGAGTTCCCGTTGATCTGCCGGTGAGTAGCTGTTTATTAATGTCTGTCACAGCCACAGTAAAATATTTGCCTATATTACATGGACTAATTGTTTTGTATATACAGATCTCACCTGATTCTGACTACTTGCTATGTTCAACTTATGTGGCACATTACATTTGAATGTTATTTGTTGTTACACTATTATCTGGTAAGGTTTGCTTTACGGTCTTTAAAGGTAGTGTGCATATACAAACAAACATGTTTCCGTAAGCATTTTAAATAACTATCAGTTTGATTTTTCCTTGAAAATTGTACTACTAAAGTTGATTTTTTATATAATATATTAAAAAATAAAAATAAAATAAAAAACACATTCCTACTATATTGTGTTACTATTTAAATAATTTGTTCACCAGCTGTCAAATACCGTTCTGCCGGTGGAGAAGAATTATGTAATGTATATGGAGGAAAGGAAATCGAGGGAGTCGATAGAAGAAGCAACGCTGGAGAATATAGCCAAGTTGCAGGAAAAGCATAAGGTAGCATATGCGAAGAGAATGCAGAAGAAACACAGGGATTTACACTACAAAGTTGGCGGCGAAGTTCTCCTTTACAATATTAGGAAACGTGGTAGAAAAGGAGGAAGGATTGAGCTTGACTTCCTTGGCACTTATATCATCAAGGAGCTGTGTGGCAATATGGTTAAGTTGGCAAATCCTGACAATGTTACCCTGAAGGAGTAAAGAAGTTACATCCCCCAGGCAGCAAAGTGCTGTCAGGTCACTGAACTTGCCTGATGAAAGCGACACTGGCGTATGCTACGTACCACAAAAGAACCTCTGTGATTCAATTTGCCCCGAAGAGAAAGGATAGCACTATGGGAGGTACAACCGAAATAGCTAGTAAACACCTATATTGCATATAGTGCACTTTTTCTGTATCCTCAGCATATTCTCTTTTTGTACTATATACCAAAATCTGGGGGGGGGGGGAATGTATATAATTTTTTTTTATTATTATTTTTTATTTTTTTTAAGCAGTCTGCATCTTTGAATTTACAGCAGAGCATAGAAGACAGGGGTAGCATTTGCAAAGATCTTCATTTTCTATTTTGAAATTGTTGGTCATTTAATTGGCCGTGCCCTGTTCTGGCCTTTTCCTTTAGATGGCCATTCTGGCTGTTTAAAGTTGCCGCTGTTAGGCTAATAAAACAAGAACATAATGCCATACAAGTTAATATTATACCAAAGAACCTATACAGGTTGAGTTACCCCCTTACCACAAATGCCTTTGAACATAGGTGATTTTGATTTAGGAATATTTGCACATATGGGGATAGCTCATGCAGATTGGATGCTGTATTTGGAACCAATGACCTGTATTAGCTTTAAGTCCCTATAGAACAATAACAACTGCAGTTTAAGTTTGTTTTTTCCCCTCTCTCCAGTTAAAGGGCTGTGGAGTGCTAAAGCTGACAACTCGGTGGAAGCCATTGTCGGACAATACAAACTGTATAACTTGTCATTCAAAACACTGCATGGGACAGGGTGGCTGGTTGATTAAAATGTATAAAAAGCTAAAATCTTTTAATAAAAAATAGTTTATTTTTCGCTCTCTCTAATGCAGGTGATTGATCACCTGATTGGAAAGCACAAGGCAAGTGTGAATTAGTGTATGCTTGTATGGTATGTTTGTTACATTGATATTTTACATGAAAACTTAATTTTTTAAAAGGGAACCTATTCACCAGTTGTATGCAGTAATTTCATCAGCATTATTTTCAGGAAAATTTTATAGACTTTGAAAGGTTAGTGATTTGTCTCAATACCAGCTATTCATACACACATTAACAAAAATAAAATTTAATTTTCTCAACCCTCCTGGGTGGTATGTTCATTCCTCATTCTCGGGTCCTCTACCAGAGGCATGGGAGCTTGAGGGTTCTGCACAGTATACTAGCTATTCCTAGAACTGCACTCTTCTGGACAGATCTCAGATGTCCCACCTGTAATGCTCCGAGGGAGAGAATACACATACACACCTAAAATTTGCAGTGGAATTACTACTGCAAGGGATTCTGGGTAAGCATATGCCAATAGAAATACACAACAGTGTATATAAGGCGCTTATAAACAATTCTGATAGTTATCTGAATTATGGTGTCAGTAGCTATTGCACTAATGAGTGGATATCCCAAAAAATCCACTACAAACAAAGATGAAGACAAGCAAAACTCAGTGTTTGGGTGATCCACCCGACTTCCCAACACAGAGTAAAACCAGTGCAGCACTTAGGATTAAATTCACACTTACCCCTCAATTTATATATAGGGGAATATCCACATGTAAGAAAATAAAGAATAGGAATATAATAGTGTGAAATTTATGGATTTGTGAATTTCTTAAAGTGAGTATAAGTGTTTTAGAGTTTTTTTGTCATCGGCTCTAAACAAAAGGCAGATCTGGACCTTTAAGGTGGCATCAGAGAACCTTCTTCTAGGTTTGTTTCTCAGTTGATATGCAGGTATAAGCAGAGACCCCGGAAACAAAACTTGGTGTAGCCAGATAAAAGTTATAGTAAAATATATAAAGAATTGCTTGCCCACCTTATCTGGAGCCTGTTAGATAACTGGCTCCAAAATATTCGCTTAGTGTCAATTTATAGGGTGACACTTTCCTATGGGAACCTGAAATTCTGGCTGTAGTGTTATGGACAGAAGAATTAAAATAAAATGGCTATTTAATAATGTCTATTTATTCTGTGTTCACTATGTTAAAACTGGCTGCTAGAGTAAATATTCCCTCCCCCCCCCCCTACAACGTGTTCAGTCACTATTTTCTCTCTGCAAATTCCTCCCATCCTGCTAGCATCCCCCTTCCCATCAGAGCAAGCCTCGTGTAACAAATTCCTGTGTTAACAGCTTCCTTTACTAACTCCTCCCCCACTTCCTTTGTGCCAGTTAACAGTTACATGCCACGTGTAACAAAATGGAGAATCACTGTTAAAGTAACTGAAAGAAACTACTCACTCCCCCTCCCATCGTGTATCCAAGATGGAGCTGGTATATAAGTGGGAGAACTCTGTAATGATGACATCACATCCTGTAGGGTGGGCTTAGATAAGACCCCTTAGACTGTTAACCAATTGTTGAATGTATACTGTATGTTTAACTGTGACTCTGTACAGGACGTATTTCTGCTTTAAAAGGAACTTCCACTCCAGGGAATAAAGGCATTCCTCAGGTTTTTCACTGATCAGAAACTTTGTCTCCGGTGTGAATTACTTCTAGGGAAAGCGTGCACGCATTAATCAATCAATTAGGAAGGAGTAGATAGACAAATAAAGTTTTCTTTGATCTAAAACAATATGAGTATTTTATTTTATTATTTTTTTTAAAGATTTTGCTTGTTTTGATATATATCTACTAATAGTGGCTCCTGCTGGTATTTCTTTTTCCTGAGTTGGATCTAGGGTTGAGTTATAATTCCCTGCTATTACAAGAATACCTTCCTTTACGTCATCTACCTTTTCTAGTATTTTCTTTAATAGAGTTTTGGGGCAACAATTGGAAGATATAAATTCACCCAAGTATACTTAATGCTATTTTACAGACCAAAATCATATAGCGACCATCTTTATCTAAAAATTGTATATAACCTACCAGTAGAGTATTAGAGAATATGATAGCTACTCTACATCTCTTTTGGTTATCTGTCCTTGAGGCTTGAACTACCAAAGGAAATCCATTTGGATTCACCAAATTATTCTAAAGGTAATAATTGCCTTCTTATAAGCAGCAATTACCGTATACACTTATTTTCATTTTTACAACTTGACTAGTGATGTCCCGAACGGTTCGCCGGCGAATATTTCCCGAACATCGCTTGTTCGCCACAGACGGCGAACATA